CAATATTGGTTAATTAATAGATACAGTCTGGACGCGGATACACGATAATAAGCACGTTTCAAACTCATAAAAATCGATCTAAGTATCAAGGGATGTTTTCTCTCGTCGACAACAGGAAGTTAGTAAAACACTTTGGGTTTGAATCGTTTTTGAGTTTAAAATGTGCATATTGTAACGTATCATCTATAAAAAAAATATGCTTGGTGTAACTTCGCTGCAGCGAAGGATGCTTCCCAGCGTCAGTATTTGTTTGATCTTGTTCTCGAGCACGAGGAAAAGTATTCGACGTGAGTGAATATTCTGCCAAAATATTCTGCCATTTTCCGCGTTAATGGTGGAATATTTTTGCGCGTGCGGTGAGTGCATAAGTATTGTGTGTTTTTAGAATGCATAATTCCGACAAGTCTCCAATGAAACGACAAAAGCCTGAGGAGGAGGAAGAGGAGGACGTCCTCCTTGCCGACGACGTCCTCGGCGTGGAGAATGTTCCCGACGAGCCTCCAACGAAGCGACAAAAGACTGGGGAAGAAGAAGAGGACATCCTCCTTGCCGAGAACGTTCTCGGCGAGGAGAATGTTCTCGACGAAGAGAACATCGTCCTGGGCGAGGAGGAGGAGGAGGATGAGGATGACATCCTCATTATCGATGGGGATGAGGATAGTGGCGAAGATGACGAGGTCGTCAATGTGGATGGCGACCTCGTCAATTTTGGAAACATAAGCGCCGAGGAGTGCATTGAGTATATGATGGACCTCCTCCACATAGAAAACGAGGAAGAATTATTTACCTTCCTCGAAGAGGGGGTGGAGGAGGAGGAGGAATAGGAGGAAGACAATGAAGAGGAGGAGGAGGAGGAGAAGGAGGAGGATGACGACGACGAGGAGAAGAATGAAGAGGAGAAGAAGGTGGAGGATGAAGAAGAGAGAGAGGAGAAGGAGGTAAATAAAAAAAACCTTTACTACAATTTTTTTCTAAAAAATATCAGCGCTTCTTGGTTTTCTTTGTCCGCGTTACTGCATAATACTATAACGCATTTTGTTTGGAGGGGTACAGGGTGGAGGTGGTAAAAAATACCGAATGCATCGTAAAACGATACATTTATGACCCATCAATCAGAGTCCTATTTTTTATAAACAATGATGATTTGGGTCCTAGGTAAACAGCGACACCGGCGACCCTGGGACCTTCCCCGCGCCCCGTTCCCCGCTCGCCCAGTGACGTCATATCCCCACCTCCGAAGAATCCCCGC